TTTGTAACGAATAATTTGTCTGGTGAATTTTACCTCACTTATTTCGCTTGGAGATTATCTATAAAGCAGAGTCCGACTGATTGTGAATAGCTCTTTGCAAAAATTCAGCAGCTGCCATTTACTTTGCTAAACGCTGGATGGATGCGAGTCACGGAGGTTATTGGTTTTGGACGGCTCTAGAAATATGCGACTTGTTCTAACGCAAACGCCCACGTATGAAATCCTGACACATAGAGACACTGGCGCCTGCACCCAGTACTGAATTGCAGGGACATTTGTTATTCATCGATCGCAGGGCCGGTGGCATCCCTCATGATCGGCATAATGCAGATTCTCAGATCCTTTTACATTTGTTCCTACAGCCTTTTTTTTTTTTTTTTCCCATTCTTTTTTCTTTTTGAGAACTATCTGATCCTAATTTAAGAATTGAAAATGATGGAGAATTCGTCTCAGCCACTGGTTAATATTTCAAAATATTAATTATCCTTACTTTTAAAACTGTCCAGTGCTTTGAAAATTGTTCCTCCAAACATTTGGAGGAAAACCCATAGAGACACATTGCTGACAGAAGGTAACCATCTGCAAGTTAAGACAGGCCAGTTCTTGCACAGTAGAGTTTTTTCCAAAACGTTTTCTCTCCTTTAATTATTTACCTCATAAAGAAACCAGCTAGGTAGGTTAATTATGCTTTCAAGGCTAAGGCCTGCTATATTTTAAAATTACAGGGGGTTTATGCGCTGTTTGACATATTGCTGCTTTTGCCTTCTGCCCATCGGCACAGGCAGCCCTTTCCTGAGGGCAATCCCTAACCCTACAGCAACAGAGTGCGTCCATGAAAATACAAAATTCAATAGCCTACACCTAAGGAACTGAAGCTTTAGCCTTCCAAGACAAGCGCACAGAGTTTGTTGCTAACGCCCTAGCACGGGGGGGTCGCAGCCTACCATAGCACGAATCTGCTGAATAAAACCCCACTGCCTCAATCGAATTAAGCAAAAGCAGGGGCTGAAAGCACGGGGGCACTGTGCGTGGGCTACACACCCGTGCGCGGTTCAAAGGCAATAATAAGAACTGTAACAGAACAAAGACCAGCAACCTGCTGCGAGCCCACCGCGCCGCAGGCATATCCCCGCTTACGACGGAGATGGATGGGTGCCTGTTAAAGGTTTCTTAGCCAGACCAGTGAAACGGTCTTAACCAAAAGCTAGCAAGCTAAGCAGGATCTTTAAGCCAAGCGAATGGCAACGGAAAACTTTGCAGGACACGCTAAAAACTGCGCTGCACAACTGCAGATGGCTGCCTTGCGGTGCAGCCCATTTCAGTGCGGTCAGCTAATGCAACACACATGCTGGTGAGCGCCCTGGGACCAAAGCAGAAGACTCTCGCCGGAGCAGCCTCTCCTCGCTGTGGTCTGGCAGGCGGTGAATGGCATGAGACTTGAAAGGGAAGCCTAAGAAATGAGCACGCCATTATGGCATTGCTTTGAGATGCTCCATCCTCCCCCCGAGCGTCGGCTACTGCCTCCCCGGAGCACCCCGCACAGCCCTCCCTGGGGAGCGGTGGCTGAACGGGGAGAGCCAAGGCCACAACCACAGAGCCATCGCCCAGGACTCCGCTGTAAATTCAGAGAAACCCTTAAAATCGAATTCAGAAGACAGACGTGATGGCTGAAGGCTTGCTTTGGCGTAGCCGACCGGTCCAGCATGACCTGTCACACCTCTGCTGCGCACGGTGCTGCCGCGGAGCGGGAGTGGCACCGGGAATGAGTCCCCCAGCGCCTGCCCACGCAGAGACCAGGGGCTGCAGGCAGAGGAGGGGAGCAAAAGGGAGCCCCCCCCCCCCCCCCCCGCCGCACAAAATAGGGGGGGCAACACACCACCAC